AGTTGTATCCTCTGAGTAGCCCCCGTATTCACTGTCAGTTTCGCAGAGCGCAATTAGAGCACATGCATATACCATTGCGTCTCCTTCTACCGAGCTGATGCTACTCTGCATTACATAAATTATAAGACTGGCAAGGCAATCAGTCAACTCCTTACTAATTCACAGGTATATATAGTTAGGGCAGCTACATTTTTCTCCGCCCGTTTTAGAACACAAGCCTGAATGTCCCGCACCTGTCTATTGGAACGAAGAACGTTTATATAAGCGCAAAAGTTTCCGTCCTACTGCCACTCTTCAGGCATGTCGAACCGCTGGAAACACTGCAAGTGGGAAACTACATGTGTGATACAATCGCTACAGAGAAGCCGCAGACACAAAAAACTCACATACTAGCTAGTAACGAATGGGAACCAAACCAACACGGCCGCGAAGGTGCGATGGCTCGCTGTTGTAGTCGGCTGATATGTGTGAGCCTCTTGCTATGCAACAACAGAAGTGAAATGTGAGTGGTATCGAAGGACCCTTCATTTCAGCAGTGTATCCGCGCTTTATAGAGCAGTTTCTGCATGCAGTCACAGGCATTTCATGCAGAGCAGTCAACATCAAAGCCCAAAATGCGGTGTAGGAAGAATGTAGAGACATTCTTCCCGCGTTCCTGCACAAATGTGCGTGCATGGAAACACAAACCATGCGCTGGGCAAAAACAATCGCCAAAGAACACGCGGTTTACTATTCGTGGTAACTAATGCCTCATACTAAGCACACCGTGAATTTCCCAGCAGCTACCAAAGCCCACAGCAGCTCTTTCGCCAACCACAATGCTAAACATTCTCCCTATCCTCCACAAAACTAACGTCAAGTGTGTCCTACGCGCTCAGCAGTCCTAGAGTCCAGCATTCCCTGGATCCCCGTGGATCATCCGTCTCTACAAGGGCTACTTGCCTGCGTAACAAAAAGTAAAATGGGAGGACTGAAAACTTCTTTAGAAAGCCGATATTAACAGTTGTGGGGCGCCCCTAACTTCCAGCCAATCCAGATAGAAACAGAGTACTATTTCATGAAGAGGTAGTCATACCTGTAGCTACCTGGCCACAAACTTCTTCGTCCTGTTGTTTCCTAGTGTACCTCATAATGCATGTCGATCAACCAGGACCAAATCTTCAGGCTTGAAATGCATTGATGAAGAATGCATATAATTCCGTGCTTTTCTTTCGTAACCTTTTTGCATTCCTTGGCGCGTAATGACCAGCTCTCCTCCCAGTGCGTGCACCACTAGGAGTGGCTGCTCACCGCAGACCACCGGGTCCAGGCCCGTGGAGGAAATGGGCTCCGCAGTATGGATTAGGGATATGAGAGCAGCAGCGGGTAGCAGAGCGTACTGCTGCATCGAAAGTTCACTCAGCAGTTGGAAAAAGCTGAAGCCAAGGACTTCGATTTTTAACAGCATAGCGTCCTAAATGCAGCAAAACAGTGCGGTAGGCGCGCTCTGTCTGATTATTTACTTTGGGGTGCTTCGCACTGGTTAATGAAAAACGCCAGAACGCACGAACTAGATTCAAATCCCTAGTTTAAGGATTCTCCAGGAGAATCTGTAAAGCTTCTAGACGTCAATCAAAGAGAACTAATTGGGCCGCTTTTTGAGCCATTACAGAAGCAAAGCAAGGGATGAAATGGGCATGTTGGCTGAGTCTGTGGACAAAGACGTAGATGCTATCTAGACCCTAATCCTGCTGCACTTGTCCAACAACACAGTCCATAGTCAGATTAGTCCAAGCCCTTTAAAGACACACTAAGCTTTGCAAAAGGCTGCTTCAAAAGAACTGCGCGGACATCCCCTCGCGATCTGGGCATGGCAGTGCATCCGGCTCTTCTGCAAGACGCATCCCAGGACACCACAAAGATCTTAAGCTTTCCCACTCTGGTGTGTCCCACTATGTCCTTAAGAACGTGATGGTATGCTTTGCGCAAAAATGCATTGCAGAGGGAAGTCGGGATGCACAAGCGACAAAGCTCCCGTCTTGTTCCGGACCACAGCAAGCCATCCTAAATGCTAGTGATTCACCCTTCTTGACTTTGATACATCCTCTAATTTTGCCAAAATTCAGAGTGGTAAACCACAGACCCATGCACTGCAAATAGAAATCGCGAAATGTTGCAGATAAGAGTGGTTGGGCAGGACAATAGTAAACCACTGGTGCGGTAGGGGCGCGCCGGCGACCATGTAGGTAGTGCCTTTGATATACTTTGGTGTAGAGTCGTATTGCAGGAGGCACCCAAGCCAGCGAACAGCTTCACGAGCACCAAAGTCCTAAACCCCCCCAGCATACCTAGAAAATTGACGGTATATTCGGCCATTTAAATAATACCCACACATCTTCTTTCACACCCCAGGACACCATATAGAGCTTCTTCCCCACAATGAATACCGCTGCTTAGTGACGGTGAAGAGCTAAAATTTACACGGAATAATTGAGTCGTTTGGAGAATCCAGAGCCTGTTGGAAGAGAGTAGCATCTATTTTAGGCTAAGCTACGCTTCAACACCTCCTACACTGGTTAGATCTGTGGACAAATCTCTAAAATTTATTTTATGATTTGTGTGTTCGTATATCTTTTTACGTACAAAGGTACTATTAGCTAGACACAAGAAGTAATGCTGTGTGCATATGTTCTAAGGGCTGTGTGCAAGCAACTGCGAATACCAGGAGTGTCGAAAGTATGCAGCAACGCGCAATACAGCTGCCTATCTCTCATAAACTCGAAAATTTTGAGGGACGCGGGTGAGGGACGGAGGGTCTTCTTTTATAATCCACTCAATAACGTTCTATCAAGTTTGTTTAGAGTCAATAGTTAAGTGTTTCTCTCTTTAAGGTGACCTTCAAAAACGCGTTGTACATAATATTTGCACGCAGTGGCACGCAAACACTTAGTACTCCTGAAGAAACCATTCTAGCACGGCGTGTTCCACCACAACTAGAACGTGCAATCGGTCGATACATGCATTTAACAAAGTACTTACTGGGTGTTGATTGTATACATTTGGAATAGTAACAAATGTCTGTGTGTACCACGGTCTACCTAACTACGCACTATGTAGGTTATGCACTGGGGTCTGCAATACCCAAGAAACGTACCGTACTCAGGAAGGCAGTTTGAATCTGGAGACCAAAAAAGGAACCAAAAGAACTTGAGTCAGTCTCACTTCAGGATATCAAGACAGAAGTGGGGCGCCTTCGTGCGTCACTCTGGAGGTAATTACTTGAAAATATGCAGATCGTATTTGCATGTTCGTTCATGCTCGTGTGCCTATGAACATTCTCCGTATCAGCCTTTCGCAAATTTTCGGTTTCTAGCCCCCCAATCTCCCACGCCGGTGGCGCGCTGGTGTACAATTGTGCAGGCCCAGCCATTCTCTTCATATGCGCGAAGCCCGTGTAAATTGCCCTGCCGAAGCGATAGGCGCCTCTTGGCATTTTTCTCTCTCGATCAAAATCCTGCAAAAAGCGCGGTCTCTGCTCTGGTAGCTCCCCTTAGACTCTGCACCTGAGTTTTTGTTTGCTGAGAAGACCGATACTGTGCAGTTGAACAAAACCTGTAACACCTTTGCAAGTCTGCTGCTCTTGCCAAGGTTGCTGTGGAGCATGGATAAGTGGATAAGGCCAAATATGAACCTTCCTAGGATGAGTATTTGAACTCGGAGTTAGGGACCGTGGAGCTATCACGAAAGAAGCCAGGGGAAGACGCTTGAGGAAAGACAGCCCAGTGTCCTATGCATACACGGCAAAAAAGGTGAAGTAAGCAAGCCAGATGTAACTTGCTCGCTGCGCATTGTTAAATATAAAACCCTGGTGCGCTTTGCAGGAATTACTAATAGGCAAAAGCAGATTTTGTAGGTGCATGCTGAGCTATAATCCGCCATAATCCTAGGGGCCTACAGAGATTCGCTTCTACGTATATTTATGCAGTCGTGCGCTGGTCTGGGGACGGGCCTCAGAGGAGGAGCCTTGTAACGGATACCCCATCCCGGCGCTCGCCACCCCTCCCAGCCCCGTTCATAACACAGCACCGCGGATGCTCTCTTCGGAGTGCCAGTAGACGCGAAACAATTTGCGAAGTGTTGCAGAATCCTGACGATCAGTGGCCAACTTGTTTGGAGGGGGAAAATTCACCCAGACCACGTGACCGTGCAAGTAACTGACTGGCTACCTTCTACTCGTGCTGTCGTCTCTGACAAAATATAGGAACAAGAAGCCTTATGAAACACCCAGAGAATGCTTGATGAAGCCTTCAGCACTCTGACATGTCTGCTGTGCTACAGCTATCTGATAGAGGGACAGTCGGATCATGAGGCTGCTCATGGAATCCGGCCAAATTTGCACACAATATGTCATTCCTGTCCTTTACTGCTATCTGCGAAGTCCGTGATTCCTCGTGTACTTTTGCTCCTGTGCACTGCACTGACCTTGCTCTGTGGCTCGCCATCCACTTGGCCCTTTCGACTGCAATTCGGTGCAGGGTGGCAGGCTCCTACCGGCCTTGCTAACCCAAGACCCTGCCCGCTACTTCCTTGTGCTCACGCCCCCTTGTTTCGGCATAAAATTGCCATTCCGGATCGTACAAAATAACAGTCAATGCAGCAAACCCCTGAATAGCTGTCCCGGGTGCTACTAGGCTAACTACGTGTTCGTCCTCCCCATGTAGAGAGGACGGTTTTGTGGCGAGTGTCGTGACACCCTGGAGGGCCCCTCCTGATTTCCCCGCAATAGCGGGAGAGGCCCAAGGTAGCTTTTCCTCTTCAGCCGTGGCGAGCGGCCAAACCCATTGCTCTACGGCACCGGGTGCACCTTGCATGCGTAATATATCCCCATGCGTCTGCGCCATGACAAGGGCTTTTCCTGTCAAGCTCCCTGTGATGCGCAAAAGCCGTCCCAAGCGCCTCCAAAAGGCCTTAGACCGTGGGCTCCAAGTCGCCGGGGCCTCTGACACGGTGAAAGCCTTGCCTCAGTCGTCTTGCTGGGAGTCTCTGAGGCTGTTTAGCAAGGAGTCACAGGAATCTCCGTCACTGTTCTTCAGGGCCATGTTGGCACCCGCTTTCCTAAGGAGTGCAACCATATCCATTTGCTCGGCTGCGATGGCAACATGCAGCGGCGTTTCCCCCAAGTCATCTTGGTAATTCACGTCGGCTCCTGCGTACAGTACAGAGTGCAGGGCAGCAGTCTTCGGGTAAGTGATTGTCCCTTTGCGAGTGAAGGCAGGACGCGAGAGGCGATCTATACAGACCAACTTTGTTGAACTCAGAAGCATCTCAGCAGAAGCAGTAGCAGGGAGGTGTGCGAATGGGCTGAGTGGCAACACGCCCCCGCCCCAATGGCGTCCCCCGCAATCAGGGGATTGCCGTGCCCAGAAATCTTGTTTTGTGCAACGCCTCACCATGCGCAAGAAGCATCTTGGCTATGTCGAGGTGGCCTCTGAAGAGCATACGCAAGCAGCAGGCAGGCGCATGCTGCCGCCGGGTGACAGTACACATCTCTGCAGAGCCGCCTCTTGCCAAGCTACGCAGGCAGGTTCAAGGCAACGAAGGCGTGGAGGTCTTCGCGCATGCAACAGCGCCTCAACCAGAAACCAGCCAAAGCTACATTTAGGCGGTTCGAAAGAAAGTCTAAAGCGCCTCATACGCGAGATTGCGCACCTGTCCGCCGCAAAGTGCAAGGCTGTCATTCCCCCATCGCCAGTAGCAGACACTAGAGATCGGTTTTCTGCAACAGCAAAGAGAGTGGACAGACACCCCGGAGGTCATAAAGCTTCTTCATGCGCTGCTTCCGTTCGCGGAGAGTTCTCCACAACGGACCGCTACCTTAAAGACCCCCGCCTCCCCCTTGCTTTCCTCGTCCTTTCTTCTGTGCAACACTACACCCACAACACAGGCCAAGCTGCTGCCTGCAGAATTCGAAGTCTTATCACCTCTAAGCGCTGCCTCCACCGCCTTCGTGTCACCAGAAGCGACTTGGCAGCAGAAAGCGTCTCCCTTGGACCTGCATGCGCTCCAAAACAGGCACACTAGCGGCAGCCTCCAATCCGTCCCCATTCGCACCCGCCTGGGGTGGCTGCGGAGGGCAGAGAGACGGCAAAGAACAAGCGCTAAGACACCCACAGCATGTGACACACGTGGAAGCTAGCTATTCAGCCAACGAGAAGTCAACAACACGCAGCGCTCCTTCAAGCCAGTGACAGTCGCAGCATAATTCACGCAGAGCATCCTACTGGGTGCTGTCATCCGCAGCTGCGCCTTCATTAGCCATGACCGGCCTGCTGTGTACCGGCCCAAACTGCGAGCAGAAAACATTCAACAGCAAGCTCTCGACGAGAGAGGCGGGAAGGAGGGGAAGAAACCACGCTCCTCCGTCCAGGAGGGGGGAAATCGCCGTCCAAAGCAGCAGGCAGCAGCAGTGGCTTCTGCTAACAGGCGTGGAAGTCTCTGCCCCCTCCCCATCCGCTTCCAAGGATTTGTTTTAAGGCGCTTACGGCTACGACTGCAGTGCGAATGTGGCGGATTGTGCACTCAGCAGACACCGGCAGTGCCTACCGTTTGGGGGCGTCCCCGAGTGCTGCTTGCTGCAGGGACGGGAGGAGGTGCAGAGCTTAATATGCCGATATGCAGCGCCAGTCGCACATACATCGCCTTGGCATCCTCAGTAGACAACCCCTTGAAAGAATTCCAGACAGCCCTGAGCCTCTCAGCCGCAGCGCAGGCACGCAGAGGCCTCTCGAGCAGCTGCTGTGCACTGTTGCTCTGAGAAGCTCGTACAATTCCACGCTATGAAAAGGCCAAATTGCCGCCCAAGATCAGAACGCCCAAGACTTAAACGCACCACTTTGCGCGAGCACGTTGCTTGTAGATGGGCGGCTCGCTGCCCGTGGCGTCTCCCTCAGTTGCTTGCTTGTACAGCCCTGAGCCAAAAGGGCAGAGCAGAGCGCAAGCAGCATGGGGTAACTGCATCCTTTCAGAAATTCAAGACAGCTCGATCCAGCGCCTCTCGGATTGCGCTGCTGGCAGAGAGGCCTCGGTGCTGCGGCTGGCGCTCGACAGCCGAGCTAACCGTAGAAGTCGAGGAGGATTGCCTGCGGCAGGCTGTGAGCGTTGGACTCCAGCGCCCCCAAAGCCTCCTCGAAGAGTTCCCCTGTTGCTGCGGCTGATGACGAGTTGGCTTTCTAAAGGCACGCAAAAACACCGCGCATCACAGGCCATGCCGCTCGCCGCTGAAGGCTAGAATCCTACAGCGTGCGAGGAAGAAGCTGCCTTCAGTGCCACACATTTTAGCGCCCTCGTGTCTCGCAGCGCTCCTCCCGGCGAGCACTACAGGTGCAAGGAGGCGAGGGGCTTCTTTCTCCCGCCTCGGAATGCTATTTACCGGAGCTGCTGCAGAGAGCACGGCCAAGCGCTCTAGAGCGCTCAAACGCCTGCGCTCCTCTTCGCTCTCCCTCGAATGCGCCCACACCCTTCGCATGAACAGAGCCAGCAGGAAGACCGACGCCACGCCCACCCCCACGAGGAGGGCTGGGGTAGGGCCCCCAAGCCTTGCCATTGATCTCCTCAGGGGCAGACACGTTGGGAGCTTAGTATCCGGCGCCGTGTAGCTGAGGCTTCCACACAGGCGTACAGGCCCTGGATATGTGTTGTTGCCTAGTGCTCAAATGGATGTGCACATACAGCCACACTGGCTGGGGAAGATCCCCTGCGGTAGCTGCATGCGTGTTACAGCAGCTGCCTGGCTTTGTCGAGTCCATGAAACGCAGTACGGCAACAACCCATGAATTACAAGTGTTCATGTGCATTTTCTCACTATTTGGAGGGATTTGGTGGGGGTCTGTGCCTGCTTTCACCGGGGGCTGGACTCTTGGCATGGCGCACTCCTGGACCATCCCGGTCTGCCGAATTCATTGCAAATCCATGTCTTTCGGGAATGTGCCGGACCAAACGGGCTGAAAGATGAAATCAGGCTAGGAAATCTGCGGACTTTGCAACGCGAAACGCGCGAGGCGGCCAAGTTCGAAGGCTGTACACAGAGTGGCATGGTTCCTCTGTGCGGTGGAAGCCCCTCGAGGGGAGGGACGCACGGCTCGACATCATTTAAAATTCGGATTCTAAGGCGCATTTGCCACATTCTGGTTGTCGTGGCTTTGGTAGGACACCTTGACCTCCTCCTACCTTACGCCGCATTGTGTGCATCGGGGATAGGAGTGAGGGCCGTTTCTGCCGCTTCACCAGCCGTCACAGAGCAAGCTCTGTCGACACCTAATCATTCTACCGCTTCTATCGAGGTCGCTGGAGGTTCGATTGATGGTGCACCTTCGGGTTCTGCAGCTACTGAGGACGCTGGAAGCAGCCTGACGTTCGAGGCCATTTCTTACGATGATAACTGCACCGCACCGCTTGTTATTGCCGGCGAGATTGTGCGTTGTGATGAAGGGAAGAAGGGCCCCCCATACAAGGTGCTTTCTAGGCGGGACTCGCACCAGGGGCCTCTCTTGAATCAGACCTTTCCTGTAGAAGTGCCACCGGAATGGTTTCATCGACGCAGGATGCCAGATTGGCAGAAATCTGCTGAGGATGGCACATCGGCTGGCGCTTCCTCACAAGTCCATTTAGAGGAAAGGGGAGGCGCTAGCTCTGATGTCAGCCCCACGACTCGGGAAAAGGCAGGCGGTCTGACAGATCCCCGTTTCATCCGCATCTTCGGCAACTGGGCAGCGTATTCCAGAACGCTGAACTTGTGGCTAGAAAGAGCAACCACGTCAGCGCTTCTGCGTAGGCTGGGAGGTTTGGCGGCAGACCAAGCGTCTGCAGAAGAACTCAGGCCTGGGGGCCCCGTGCACGCCACAGGGGCCCACAGTGCGCCATCGTCTGCACTTCCTGCTGCTGCATTTGCTTCTTCAACACACAAGCACCCTTCTTCCTACTGGCAGAAGTCTCTGTTTGCATCGCTCATGGAGGGCTCCTGCATAGCTCTAATCAAGCTGCCAGCAGACGGCCAAGGCACGCCCTCTCCTTCCCCGCTGAACTCTCCTGTCACGGCCATCCCTGAATCTTGCGAGGATGCTCAGCGCATGCTATTGGAGAGAGCCTCTGACGACGGTGCCTTTCAAGATGTGTTTTGGCTGGTCTGCGGCTCTGAACTGCCCCTAAGCCGTCTGAATCGCTATATCACTTTCTCCATTTCTCAGGAAAAACTCGCCAGAGTGCTTGATGCCTTGGACTACAGCGTGGATATCTGGGAAGAACCGCATAAAGCGGTGCCACATCTCCTAGATGGCGCTAAGGGGGCCCCCCCCAGCTCAGAGGGGGGGCAGGAATCAGGCGGGAAGGAGGCAGCTCAGCAGGATGTTGCGAATGGAGAGGAGCCAAGTGGCAGGAATTCAGCCTCCCCCGAGGCACTGCCCAGTATCTTGGCCCCCCATGAGGTGGAAGCGCGGCGACTTGCTGCAGAAGGTAGTGAGCGTTTGGCCTGCCGTGCTCTTTAAGTTATGGCGTCTGACCTTGTTTTCCCTGCAGCCTACATGCGTTCTCCGCGAAAAACCCTTACCCATTCACGGAAATAATGCGTTGGCTCTGCGCTGTGCGCGCGTGTGCTTACTTCTGAATGGTGTTGAGTGCAGAAAAAAGTGAACGTGAAAGGTCTTTCAAGTGGCGTGTGGGTGTCTGCTTCATGAGTGGACTCCTTTTCACGGAAATAATGCGTTGGCTCTGCGCTGTGCGCGCGTGTGCTTACTTCTGAATGGTGTTGAGTGCAGACAAAAGTGAACGTGAAAAGTCTTTCAAGTGGCGTGTGGGTGTCTGCTTCATGAGTGGACTCCAGCAGAACGCGAAGATGCAGTTTAGGGGGAACCCGACGGATGGTACTGTCCGTCCTGCGGACGCTGTAGGAAGTGCAGCTGCAGACAAGGTGCAGGTGGAGTCTCCAGAGAGCAAGTCTAACCCTGATTTAGGGATACAGGTTGCAAGTGGAAGGGAAGCGTCTCTCGCGAAGAAAGCAGCTGCGAGTCAGAACGAAACCGCAAAACTAGAGGAGAAACAAAGGCCAACAGCAGAGGAAGCGAGGACCTTACAGGAAGGGGCAGTGCTCGTGGGAGAACTGAAGTTTCATGTTTCCCCTGCCGTTACACCGCGCCCAAACGAAGGCTCGATGGACGAACCGGAGGATATTCAAATTCGTCATTTCATCGATGCAGGATGGATATACACCCGTGATATCCGTAAGCTCTTCATGAGCCTGTGAGCAGTTTTACTGCAAGCAAAGGAGGGAAGGGAGTTGGCGGTCTCGCTCGCTTCCTTGTGCCTCTGTCTGCCTGCCGTGTTCATTCGGTCTATTCGGCTCTAAACTGGCTGCAAATCGTGTTTTCGTGTCTTACACTGCATTGTCAAGGCTAGAGCAAAATAGAACAACTCTTTTGCAGGGGGGCTCGTACAGTTCTTATTGCCATGTGTTTGTTCAGAAGGAGCGAACCTCAGCCGCTTCAACCGCCTGGCCATCAAGGAATCCCCCAATGGAACGGCGCAGCCGTGCGTGGGTCAGTCTTCCCAAAATTGAGCAATAACACGTTCAGTAAAGGCCTGCTCCAGTAAGTGGGCTTGTAAAACGTTGTGCTGATCGCTCGCTGTGGCGTGTATGACGGTACAGCTAGCCACGCATCTTGCCCCCAGGGCAGTTGATGATTTCTGGTTGTGTCGCAAAGAAATGCAACTTAAACGCGCAGGCCTTATTTCTCCGATTTGCTCAGGGTTCTGGGAAGAGCACAGTGTGCTGAGCGTCGCTCCCCATTCGTATGCATGGGACGAAAAGACGAACACGGACACCTTGCGATTCGTGTAAGGCCAATTTAATTTCCTCAGAAAAATCGCAGTAGCGGCTCCGCCATACATGTCGCTGCGAAGCCTGTAGTTCCTGTCCAGACAGCCTATCTTGCCAATGTTGGCTGCAGCCGACATCCTGCTTACTTGCTTGTTTTCCTACATTTGGGTTGAGTGTTGACGAGAACCGGCACGAGTCCCCACTCCAAACTCTCTGACTGCTTGTTTCTTATGGCATGTGCATGTGCAACGTCCTCATGCACACTGCACACTCCACAATTCTGGAGGTCGATATGGCTGCGTGGCCCTTCGCAGATTCAGTAACTCTTTGAGGGATGCCATTGAGAATGACGACCCTTTGCTAGGTCCTTTGCCTGGACGCCACGCAACTTCTCGGATGTACATATGTTTCTACCCAAATGACGAACAGCCATTTGGGGTTTTCTTGGGAGAAGTGCGGTTTGTTATTGGTAAGGCAGTGAGTTTTCTATCTTACTACAAGATCCACGGCGTTTCAAGTTGTTGCTTCCTGCCGCCTTGCCATTATGTCTGTGTGCAAGAGAAGGGGTTTGTGGCACTACTGCGGATATATGCGGAGGGAAGGGGGCCAAATGGGGGGCCCTGCGCATGGGTGCGCATGGGTGTACATGTGCGTATACACTGTGTCAGTTGGCTTCTAAATAACTTTGTGAGTGTGTTTGCTTTTCATTCATTCTTTTGCGGCAGACCATTTTTGTCTGGTTGTTCAGACTCGGCGGATGCAACTTTGCTCGTTTGTTTCATCCTCTTCGTATTCCTGGCGCTCCCAGTTTCCTGTGCTATAGCCCTTTCCTTTCACATATATAAACATCGCCAGTACGTGGCTCCTTTTTAATGATTCCTTGTTGGCCCTATATTCCGATTATGCGTATATGCGTTGGCTCTCTTAGGTGACTCTCTGGTTGCAGAACTCGCCTCTTGAAAAAATGTATATTTTTCCATATGTTTTGCGGCTCGCGACTCCATGTCAGGGAGTGAATGCCATTACGGTGGCAAATTTCAGCCCAGTTTTTTCGACCGTCTGTTTTTTGTGCTACAGTCTCCGACAGCGGCTCCAGAGGCTGGTACTTGTTCAACAGAGAGATGCGGTCCGTGAAAGCAGGCAGACTGCTACACAAATGGCCTTCAACTTATGCATCTAGCTCCTCGTATCTGAATCGATGGCAACCGTTACGATGAGCATTTGGAATGTAAATGAATGCATTGCCCTTGAGTACTTATTTGTCCTTTCTACGCTGCGCAGGTAGAACAACTGCTGATGCGAGAACTAGGGCTTAACACGGAGGATCTGGAGGATCCAAACGATGACGACGATGATGAAGACGTCCATGGTTGATGAACAGAATAATTGCTTTAGTGCCTCAAAAGTGGCATGGAGATTCAAAAGATTTAGGGGGTATGCGACCTTAATGAAATTAGCAGTGTCTAACACCAACTTTCAGTGCCTTTTCCATGGGCCGACGTCTGCTGGCATTATTCACCTTCTCGATGCCAAGGGTAGGGAAAGCGGCCCCCGCAGTATCAGAGACTTTGCCTCTGGTCGGATGCCACTTGTTGGATTCACCTCTGACTGGGAAGTCTGTGAATTTCCTGTGTGGGGCTTTTGTCTGGCTGTTGGATCGTTGCCAGAGGCTGCTGAAAGCTAGCAGATGCAGCGATGCAGATTTTGTGCAAATTGTACTTCGCCCCATTTGGGAATGTAGTCGTAGCCGTGCAGCTCATTAATTTGACCGTGTCGCAGATACATATATATAGCTACGGTGGCAACAGAAACTTGGTTTTCCCTTAGAAGGTGTATAAATTCCTTTTTGCTGCTCATAAACAACCCTCTACTTCATCAGCCCTAGGGAACAGCGCAAAGGACGGGACTTCGCAGGCTTCCCCGAAAAACTAAAGCTGTGGGGCTTTCCAGGTCTCGAGGAAGAAGTCTCCTACTATATTGGTCTACTGACTGTTTCTTCTGATTCAGCACCATGAGAGGGCTCTTCTTTCGGCGCTTCCGTTTGCCTGTTTCTTAAGCGGTCGAGCCAAAGGGGGAGGCGGCGACACTAGCGGAAACAGGACGCAAAATGGCAGGACCGCCTGTGATAGCTTTTACCATGGCAGATCATAAGAGTCTTCGAAGGGGCGATGAGCACTTGACAATATATCCGATGTGGCAACCGCGAGCGAATAATCCGTTTCAACATCCTCCCCCGTATTGTTGGGCTGCCTTGATCCAAAGATCGTAGCTTGCATCCTTTTAAAATGCCTTTGGTATCTTACAAAGGTCTATGAAGCAGTTGCCAATTTATCCTGTGGCATGCGAAGGTCACTTCCACTGCGGGTGTACTCTGTAACTTAGGCCAACTACGACCGGAAACACACACGCATTTCCGTCCACCACAAGAAGCTACTTGAAGTACGAAGTTTGTCGCTTTGATGCCGTTTTCTTTGCTTCTTATTTTTGCGTTGTGCTCTCCCAAGGGCCAATGACGCCACACACCAAAAATTTTAGGAACGCCAGTGACCATCGCGCTGGGGGCCCCATCGGCGGGCCCTTCGAGGCCCCCGACCCCCGCTCCCGTCCCCTCTCATTCCCTGTACCCCTGCCGCCCCCTTCATTCGGCTGTAACTAATCTCTAAAGAAACGGGGAGTCGGCAGACATACACGGAAGAGGGTGAAATACGGTTAGAAGTACCCGCGGAAAACCTCAAGAACACGTAGAACCTAAACGCATTTTGGCAGAGGTGGGCACCACTCCTCATGTCATCGGCGCCACACCCACGGCATCAAGCGTACTGCTCGCTTTCAGCGACCTACTTGATCAGCTCATCCCCCAACACCATGATCGGTGATTAATTGGAAGCGCATCGAATCTGAAAATGCGCTGGCTGGTTCTTTGCACTCCGTGTACTTCAAGGGCCACACAACCACAAAGCAGCCACTTTCCTTCATGCGATCCAATTACTGGAAACGGCAATGCATGATATGTTGAGCGGTGCCGCTGATGCTCGCTGCCGTCCACTTACGAGCTGCGGAATTTTCTCGCCCCCAAATCGGTGTGCTTGAAAACTTTACCCATGAACCTTATTGTGTGGGTCGTTGGCTTTAACTTAGCACTTTATATTTCCTTCTTTTCTCCCGCTTTTGCCTGGCTCGGCACTTCCACATCGTCCTTAGGCGCCCCGGAGCTCCCAGGCTATGCTGCCTATTCGGCGTCAGCGAGGAGGGGCCTCCCGCGCTGGGGCAGTACCGCGTCCTTTGGGGGATGCCCTTCACCTGCACATCTGTCAGGTGTAAAAGAGACACCTACGAGTCTCGGAGACAAAAGCAGAAATGATGACTGCATCGGTGGAATGCAGGTGCTGCACGAGGATGAGGCACTCCTTGTGGTGAACAAACCAGCAGGAGTGGCCGTCCACCCTTCCTCCCCTGTTTCAACAGGTGAGTTGAGGTTTGTTAATGCGACAAAGTTGGTTTTTCCACACGGATTCTCGTTCGCTGCACTGCTACAGAAATAAGCCGTGTGTATGGGTTCCAGGATCGGTGCAGGATTAGCGCGTAGGCATTTGGCATGTGTCGCTTGTGCCCCATTGACTCAGTGTCGAAGCCCTCGAAGCGCAGGCTATGCGTTACTGAACATCTCACTGCGTACTATAAGTCCATCAACAGGCCCCTGCCTGAGACGCTCGTTAGCGACCCCAGAGCGCTGGAAAGGCGAGGGCCCCACCACTGCGACAGTCCGCCATATCCTGCGGTGGATGTCTTAGTGCACAGACTCGACCAGGGCACATCGGGTGTCTTGTTTCTGGCAAAGACAGCCGACGCGGCGACCGCTCTCCGACAGCAGTTCAAGGATAGGCGCGTTAAGAAAGCGTACATTGCTGTAACGCAGGGAGGGTTGCAGGGTCCAACGACGGTCAGTTCGGCCATTGGAAGGTCAGCCACAGAGCGGCGCAAGATGCTTAGCGCGCGGCAGGTGTGGGGTGTCTGTACACCTAACTACGCAGGCACCTCTGCAGGCAAGCTGCGAGGGGCTATCACCCACTTGAAACCTCTCCTCTTCAACGGCAGGTTTCAAGTTGTATGGGCCTCCCCGGTGACAGGCAGAACGCATCAGATCAGACTACACCTACAAATGCTCAAGAAGCCCATCATAGGAGACTCGCTCTATGGTGACGCAGTAGCTACCGCGGCCTTCCAGGCCCACATGACGCGCCTTCGAGGCCGTCAAGGAGCAGGCATGAAAGCCGCCGAGAAAGAAGAGGGGCGGCAGCTCAAAGGGGCCCCAACAGCCTTTCTCCCCCCCCAACCAGTGTTTCGCGGGGTCTCTCGGGTACTGCTTCACGCCGCTACGGTGTGCTGTGTGCATCCGACAACAGGAGAGCCGCTGCGGGTGTCTGCACCCCTGCCGAGTGACATGAGGGAGGCGCTTGATGCCGTCAGCCCTTTGTGGCGCCAAGTACCTGAACTCTGCGAGTTCGCCGAGACCCCTTCTCATGAGGAAAAATACGACCCCCCCACTTAGAGGGGTGATTCCGCATCCACAAAACCAACTGCGTGCCAAAAATGCCCGTCCCGCTGACGGCGCCTTCCGTACCTTGTGCAGTGTCTCCTGCGAGCAAGTCTACGCTGCTCCCAGCTATCCGACCCAAAACCGATTAATAAAGTTTCTCTAAGAGAGCGAAAACAGCAAATCAGCCTTTTGAAAATGCGAAAGAAGGGCCCCCTTTGCGGCTTTTAGGGCCTTGAAGGAACCCAGTCCGCCCCCTCTTCTTTCTGCCGTTGTCTCTGGATGCTGTGAATGTTACTGCCGCTTCTATTGCTGCTAGTGGGGCTTCTTAGGGGAGGGTTGGAGTAACACAGGGGACTTATTAGTCCGCAGGGGCCCCAAGGCCCCCCGATTCTGGAGACTCCTGGGGAGGGGCACCCCCGAGAGCACCCCCGAGCCGTCGACACGGCGGAGAAAGGAGGGGGCCTCCTGTCGGTGGGACAGATGTACCGGCTCTGAAGGGGGCTGCAAGCGTTAATGGGGGTCCGCATGAGGCCCTGATTGGCCGATACAGATGCTACGGAGGGGGAAATGAGCGACAAGGGGAAGCCTTGCTGCTGCAGCTGCAGGCGAAGACTGTGCCGCAGTTGCCCTCCCGCCTTCATAGGGCTGCCCGATCGTGGAGGCTGGCTATTCGAAGGCAAGGAGAACTCAGAGGGCGAAACAAACCTTGCTGCTGTGGGCGCTGGCCCCTGGTAGCCTGCCGCAGCAGGAACTAGCCGAGTGGTGCTGTCGCATCGCCTAAGCTCTCCATAGGGCCCGAGCCCTCCCCAATCGCTCTTAAGCCCGCTAGAGGGTGAGGGATTTCTTGAGGGCGTGTTAGCGTAGAGGGGAGGAAGGCCGCAGTGCACGGGGTAGGCCCCCAGGTGGCTCCCCGCTGCAGACGGCCTAAGGGGTCTCCAGTTATCCTTTGCAGGGGTGGGTGCCCTGAGGCTGGCGCCGCGCAGAGGCCCCAGCGTCTCCTTACTGTCTGCTGCTGAGGAACTCACTTTTGACTCGATCGCGAGAATATCCGCAGGGCACACCGCCTCCTCCGCAGAGGCCTGCCCAGACATGCCGCTGCCAAAGGCCTTCCCCCTGATGGGCGAGGAGCTGCGCCTCGTGCGGCTGAAGACTTTGCTGGTGCTGCCGCTGCTATTGCTGCGCGATGTGGCGCTGCAGGGGGCCCCCTCTGCAGCTGCTGCAGGAGAGGCAGTGCGCTGGTGCAAGCGTCTCGGCAGGAGGGGCCCCACTACGGGGGCCTGCTGCAGACCGCCCCCAGTGGGGGGCAGGTACTGGTACTGTACGTAGGCGCGGCCCGGGCACCCCGACGTCGTACAGCAGGGGCCCCCGCGGGGGGGGGGGCCCAGGGGCCTCCCCACTACCGAAAGATCCACGGCAGACACAGACCCCGCCAGCCCTCCCTTAGAGGGCCGCACGGGCGCAGCAGAAGCAGATTTCAAGGCCGGCAAGAGCGTTGACGCGGACGCTGACGCATTGAGAAGCCCCACGGGGGGCCCCGAAGGCGGGTGAGAGCCACCACTCGGGGGGCCTCGGCGCCTAGAAGAGGGGCCCCCGCTGGTGTGGAGCTGCCGGTGCCGCAGAGGCGGCAAGACGACCCCCGGCTTGGGCCCTGCACCCCCATCGCAGAACGCCTCACAGGGCCCCAAGCCCCCACTGGGGGGCATGCAGTACCTCCAGCCCCCACCCTCCCCGCTGCAGAGGCTCTGACGCTGCCTCTGCCGCAGCTGCACTTGAGCAGCGGGCAGCAGCACAGCGCCTCGGACGCGTTCAACTGGAGGAAACGGCTGCGGCTCCGAAGGCGGCGAGCTCCTCGACCCGCTGCCCCACAGCGCCTTGGCCTTGCTTGAAACTCCATGAAGGGGGGGCAGCACGTGAACGGGGGGGCCCCCTGGCGGGGCGCCTTCTGCTGCTGCGGCCTGACGCAGCAGCGCGCCGCTTTTCTCGGGGGCAGCAGGGCGCTCCTCGGGAGTGGGGGCCCTTGGGCGGCGTGCCGGCGTCTCGGGAAGAGGAGTTTCCACCATTTCCAGCGGCCTGACCTTCTCCGAGGGCACCCCTTTGGGTGGGGCTGGAGCTGCACACGGCTTTTGAGCGCGAAGATGCCCTGTGGGAAGAAGAAGGCAACAACAAACGGGGGACGGCTCTGAGAAGGGGAATGGGGTGCAGGAGGAGAGAGCACGTGTCTATGTATATGTATATGTATATATATATATATATACATGCATGTGCATATATCTATATGTATGTATCCATGTATGTATGTATATATGTATCTACGTATGTATCTATATCCATGTACGTATGTATGTATGTATCTATGTATGTATCTATGTATGTATGCACATATAGTGTGGTGTGTGTGGTGGTGCAGCAAAACTAGGAAGGCCCGTGACAGACGCCTCCTCAAGAGGCCGTGTAGCATTTTCTTCAGCCCCGTGGGCTTGTAAAATACGCAGGATCAGAGAGCCTAGAAGTGTCTCTCTGTTACACGAGGGCCTCGAAAGGGGGTGCGGGGGTGGGGGGGCCCTCTGACTACCCGCAGCAAAGCGCTTACTTCGATGCGCATTCAGCACACCTTCCGTAAAGGTCCCAAGGTTTTCTCTGAGCCGCTCAATCTGAGCCTTAAGGTTCTCCAGCTGTGTCTCACTGCTACGGGAAGGAGAGCCGGAGTGGCCAAGGGCCTCCCCCTTCGCAGCTGCTTCAAAGGAGCCTGGAGGTGGCCCTTCTGACGCCAGTTGAGCTATTACGGAGGTGGACGGCGCCCTTTCCGCTGCAGACTGCTCTACTGTAGCTGAGGGGGCTTTTGACAAGTACAGACTTTCGCTTGCTTCTGGCCAAAGCTGCGAAGGCCGCTCCCTAAATTTGGGAGACAGAGAGGCAGCAGCAGCAGCGCCGGCCGAAGCGGCGCGGCAGAGCGACACCGCCTTCTGCAGGCGCTGCTGGAGCTCCTGCAGCACATGCCAAAGACAGAGGCCTTTTCTGGGCGCAACATGAAAATCCCCTCCCCAGAACGAAGCAGCAGCAAGCCTCGTGTCTGCAGAGACGCCGTTGTTGCTGCCCTCTGGAACCCTCAAGGGCCAAAGTGCAGCATATGCGGCACTGTGGAGGACTACGCGGTAGGCCATACCTGCTGCAAGGCGTCGTCGAGAGCCTCTCCCTCCGTCTGAACGGCATCACTCAGCGCAGCAAACAGTGCCCGCATCCTTGTATCAGACAGGCCTCCTTGCACTCTACCATTCGCCTCAGTCTTCTGCAAAGGCACAAAAAGCGCAAGACCAAAAAGCGCGGCTCGCTTTTGCTCCTGACGTCGGCGCTTCACAGACACGGCAGTTTCAGTAAACGGAGGCCCTATCATGAAAGAAAATCCTCGCCCCCGGTATAGACACCCCGCGCATACAACGCACACACCTCCACGGCCAGACTGCACGATCTGGCCCCGCTCACTTACTTCTGCCTGCATCTTCGGAAGGGGCCGCATTCGCCGTTCAAAAAAGCCCTCAAGGATCTCCTCAGCAATAGCAACTGCTCCTCTTAGGCCTTCACATTCCCCATTCAGCGTCTCCTGGGAAGACACACACGTCTTCAACCCCAACTCCACACATGAACGTCTAAACAGCCGTGCCACTCCGTTCTGCACACGGACAGCCCAAAAGGCAAGGCAGCCCGCCACCGCATTTGGAGCTTGTACCCCTAAGCATATATCATAGCCAGCCTAACCAGTTGCTGAATGAGGATTTCATTTGCCCGCTTGAGCTCCTGATTCTGCTCTGTCTTGGCCCGTATATCCGCATGGTACTGCCTCTTGAGGATTTGCTCAATCTGAAAGCTCTCCTCTGCCATCACGCGCTAGAAAACAGCAAAGCACAAAGCGGAAACGAGAGAATCCGTGGTAGCCAACCCTGAAGGCTCCGCAGGCCTCTGCCTCCCTCTCTCTCCTTCATTCTCTTTCTCCCAAGCGCAAAACTCGAATCCTCTAGACCCTACAGCGCCCCACCTTTTCCGCTTCTTGTGCCTGGACCTTTGTCGAAAGCCTCAGCACTTGCTGCATGAGATCATCTGTGTCTCCCTGCAAATACACCGCAAGAAGCGCTAGGGTGGTATGATGAGCGCGTCTACTGGAGCACATATCCAATCATCTATCTGTCTATCCACCACACGTCACCAGTCGGCTATGCCCCGGCAATGCAGAAGTATACCAATTCTAGGGGGTCTTCCCAAGCGTCAGTTCCTCTCGGGATATCCAGCGTCTGCATGCGTTGCTGCAGCACCGCAGCAAGCAAGCCACAACAAGTGAGGTCGCAGGATCGGAATAGATCCTAAAGATGCAGCCGAGTAACTGCAAAAAACTCTCTCTATACGTAGTCGCAACAAACCCCCAAAGTCCTCTGGCTCCGTACCTCATGCGCCTTCTGCAGATTAAGCCCCAAACGCCCCCTCTGCCCTTTGGCGTCCTCCTCCCGCTGCTGCTCGGCCTGCTGCAACATATTCATGAAACTCCCGGCTGGCGAAAGCAGACGCCGAACCGAACTGGGGGGCCCCAGGGGCCCCCCCAGGGCCTCCTCAGGCGCTTCGGTGGTGAAGGGTGCAACATCAGCAGACCTTCTTTTGGTGGACAGTGCAGCCTCCAAAGACGCAGAAATTGCATTCGACGAAGCTGACGCTGCTGCTGCTGCTGCTGCCGCATTGGCAGGAGGACAGTAGCAGCCCTCATTGGGAGGTGGAGGGGTCGATGGGAGCCTCGTTAGGCCCCCTCTGTCAGCAACTGCTTCAAAAGCGCCTGTCCCCTCGTGATGCGCATCTTCGGCCCGCAGTACAACTTCTGGTGCATCTTCGACGGCTGGCACAGGCTTTGGCGGGAGGGCCTGCCCTTTGGTGTTTGCTCCGTGGGGTCGGCGTTGCTCGAATTGAGGGGGAGGAGCGGCTTCAAACACACTACTTGGTGCTGGCTCTGCATCTGCCGCTGTCAATACTGTTCCTGCATCATCTGCATCTGCTGCTGCGGGGGGTGCTGCTGCTGCTGCTGACAGAGACAGGAATGGAGGCAACGCAGCAGCCGCGGCCGGAGAAGCTGAGGATCCCTCATCCTCTACTTCGCACGGAGCGCCCCCTCCCCCCCCTATCCTCGATGCAAGTTCTGATGATGCCATTTAACCAAACTCTACAGCCAAGGACTGGGAAGCCGTTGAATCTGTCGGGCAGCAATCGGGGAGGCAGCTGTGCAGGGGCACCCAGGTCTGGTGTACCTCCAGAGGGGCACCCCTGCAAATTGTTGCTGCCGGTTCAAGAGGAGGCTGCAAGGAAGGCACCGAAGCTGGGCTCATACAAGATGAACCCCTCCAGCAGCCCAACAGACTTACTGCTCCACCGCTTATCGTGGCCAGCAACAAACGACACGCTTTCCCCGTAGATCAGCTTCGCTTCCCCGCCAAGGATGCAGATTTGTTCGAAAACGCAAAGGAAGGGATCCGATGAAAGCATGCCACGTCAATAAGCACGCGATGAGCGCTCGTGTCTGCGGGCAGGTTGCTGCGGCGCGCGCATCTGCGGCTTCCAAAAAGAGCATTCGAGTCTCACTTATCAATTCACTCCATGCATGTATCCAACTTTTACGCTTTAGCAAAGAATCAGTGCAAAATGAACGACGCGAAATCCGTGCAGCACCACCTGACCGCCGCAGCCGAAACCGGCGGCCGGCCTCGAAGTACTCAGGACAAGCTGAGCTGTACATGCATCTCGTGGAGGCCCTCGTATTGCCGATCATAGTAGGCTCCCGGTTTATTTCGCCTTTCCTCCGCCAAAGCGCAAACCCCTCTCTCAGGGGTTGTTCGCACAAATACACTTCTTCAGGCACGGGCCCCTCGCCCGTGGTTCCGCTGTGGACGCAGGTGTTGCGGGCGTTCCTAATATCGGGGGGCCCCCAACCCTCTACCGTACACTGCTCTCTTGAATCCTTGCGTATCCGTCTAGTTCGTCTTGCCAAAACTTATGGACTCAGCTACCACGCTCTTGGGTGTGCCCTCATCCTGGGGCCCCCCTTCCACACTGTCTTCTTTTCTACTGCAGGCTGTCGCCTGTCCAGCTCCCTGGTCCCCGAATTATGTATCTCCCACCATCCGCGGCTCATTTGTCACTGCCGGATTTCCTCTGCGGCAGCCTCCTCCTCTAGGGGCCCCCGAAGGGGACGCCCGCCAGGGGGGAGGCCTTGAGGCCCTCGGGCAAATCCTCGCAGACTGCACTCTCACGGCTACAACCGCGCAGTATCAGAAAATCCTGACATTCGGCAGCTACGACAAATATGCCAAGCCCGATCTGCTCGAGCTGTTGCTGTGCATTACGCTAATCGGTGTACGTCTCCTAGAGCCGATACAGGTGTATTATCCCATCTGCTGTCGCAGCAGCCAGAATTCACGTCTGGCCGCTGAAAAAAGAAGCCGTGTGGGCGTAGCCACTGCCTGAGTGCATAGCGGCTGCTGCTGCCGCCGTCTCCCGCCCTCCCCTACGACGCACATTGACTCTGCTAGCGGTTTTGCCGTATGTGTGCCTTCGACAACTGCTTCTCGCAGTGCTGCCCCTTGACGTCGAACCATCTCCGTCTCTTTATTACGAGGCAGCTGGGAGATTCCGCAGCAGGCCACTCTTCTGCCAGCCTGCTCTTTCGCGTCTTGCACAAGATCTTCGCTCCTCTTTTTCTCTACTGCTTCGTTTCGCTCTGGCTGTGCCTCCCAAACGACGTCTCTCTACCCCTCCTAGTGGCAACAGCTGCTGCCTCCGCCTCCCTCCTTTCCCTTCCCGCACTCTCCCCAGACACTCTGAGCGCATTTATTTGTTGCTTCCTCTTCCCATGCTACGCCTTCGTCTTCCCACTGTCGATCGGCCCTCTCGTGAGCTCCCAGCTCCTCTTCTGCCTCCTTGTGGCGCTTCTGTAAGGAGTCAACAGCGAACCTCGGAACGCCTGCTCTCTAATGTAGCAGGCTCTCAAAAGACTACACACACCCAATATCTTGCGGAAATCCATGGGGTGTCCTGTTGACCCGTAACAGCGGGGCGTAGCCTGGGCCGTCTTGAAACCACGACACCTGAGCTTCTTCCAACATCTGAACTTGCTTGCATGCATCGAAAAATTTCAACACTCCAAACCTTTCTCACAGCTCGTTATGTTCGGATCTCAAATTCTTGCTTTTTGAGTTTAATGCACACGATTCACTTGGTTTTGCAGGGGTGTTGCTCTCCCTCGTTGCGCAGGTGCCGTGGCAGTCACGGAAGTATCTCCATGAAGCGCCTGCTGTACGTGCACCTGCGGCTGCGGCTGTGCCAAAGGACAAGCGGTGCTAGCATAAAGTGCATGATCCGCTTCTGTGCATAGATTTTCTTGATCCCAGTTGAGCCAGCTGATGCTGTTGCTGCCCGAGCGGCGGCCGCCTCTCTGATGAGCCTCCACCCCGTGGCAGGGATACATCTGTGTGTGTGTGTGTGTGTGTGTGTGTGTGCATCTTCCTGTTTCCGTATGCATGATGCCTCAGAAAAGACGGCGAAGTTTCAACGCTAAAGAAAGGGTGGGCCTCATCCCCTAGGGGTCCCAAGGCTGCGTAGTATTGCTGCGAGTCTTCCTGGTGCTGTTGCCTCTCCTTTGCATTCCTCGTGGTACCCGTCGTGTGCTGTCGCTGTAGGCATTTGTTACCGTTTGCGCACCATCGCTCAATGCAGATGATCGTCACATGTGTTGGTAAGAAGCTCCTTCCTGTCAGACGCGGGCTCTCCTAAGGCTCTTTAGCGCATGGCCGTTGGATGCTTTCCTGGAGGCTGCGAGTTTTCTGAATGCAGCGATCCTTGGTGTTGACTTTCTCACGTTTCCACGGAAATTTTGCAAGAGCGTCAACTCCGGAGTGACCCTTGTGAGTGTGGGCTTTGTGTGGGTTGTTTGCTGCGCGAAAAGCTAAAAGGCCAATGGATCCATTGGAACGTGAACCTTCAAACTGGCTCTGGCTAAGGTCTTGTGTTTGTACGGGTTTTCCGCAGATGGACTTGGGTGTTGGTGGCATTATCTTTACTTCTGGAATGGTTTCGAGGCATGCGAAGGGTTAGCAGTTTGTAAATTTTAAACCGGAAGGACGTGTCTCTTTTCGCTTGCCCGATGCAGCTCGTTTCCCATCAGCGCCTTTCCCTTCTGTTTTGTGGGGAACGCTCTGCCAAATTAGTTCAGTACGAAGTGCATTATTGCCTCAGGCAGCCGTGAGAGCAGTGAGTCTTTCTGGAGCGCTTTACGCCGAGCGGCGTTGCAGAGCGGCGCCTTGGGTATCTTTGGGTTCGTTCGTCTCATCGTCATGGCGTCTACGAACCTCCATGTAGATTCACTTTCCTGTTGCTGCTGTTGTTGCTGCTGCTGTTGTCGCTGTTGCTGCCCCTTCTGAGGCTCCGCCCTAGTGGCCTTGCTGCTGCTTCTCCGTATCGCATCTGGTCTAAGCGTGTCGTGTCAAGGCGGTCTGTCTGCGCATGCGCCACCCTCCTTACTCTGTGGCCTTGCACCCCATCTACTGCCTCCCGTGTTGCGGCTTGGTGACCTTTCAGGTTTCCGTTAGCGAATACGGCGTTCACTGGAATTTTTACATGACTCTCATGGTAGTTTTTGTCTGTGCGTCACACACGACGGGATGGCCTTGCACGGCCTCAAAGGCTAAACCTCCTTTTTCCGTGCACCGTGTTTCTCCTAAATCCTCAATCGCCAATGGCGTTTTACCGCGTTGGCACATAGAAGACTACTTCCCGCAGGAAAACCAATTGTTAGACCTTCCCTCTTTGTTTGGGTGCGCAGTGGGGGAGGCCATCTGCATCTTGAGCGGTCACCCATACAAAGCGGGTATCTGGGGCTTCTGTCTGCTTCTCCGTAAGACGCCTGACTTCCCGTGATGCCGACGACTTTGCGCTCTCGTACTCTTGTCTGCTTGCGCCTTCGGCGCGGGGCAAAAGCCACTCTGCGCGTCGGGTTACCCTCATTGGTTACTCTCCAGAAGCCCCTCCCCCACCTCACAAGAACCTCAAACCCTCAGCGCTGTGCAGCGTCTTGGCCCCCATCTGCTTGCCCCTGTCTCGGTTATTCCTCAGTTTATCAGTTCCTCGTGTCTGCTCTCGATTTGGATGAGTGGATGATGGAGGGCCCCCGCACCAGTAAGTTTCTCTACCTAGACCGCCAGCCTCGTACGCAGTGTCTTCTGGAGGCCACATGGCAGACGCCTTGTGTGTGTTTTGCCTGCAGACTTTTTTTCTGCAAACAGGGAGGGAATCATGGGTTCTCTAGGTGAGTGTGAGTCGTGCTTTTGCAATGATTGAGCAAGCCAGATTGGTCGGTTTAAATGCCGTTTCGCATGCCTACTTCTACGAGAGACGCACCCGCGCATGCCGCTGCACAATTGCATTGAATCATTTGCTGCTCCGCGTGCCCAACAGTCAAAAAAAGGGATGGGCGAGCTAACGCTTTCTAACCATTTCCGTCCAGAACATAAACGCAGCATGAATCCTAAGTGTCAAAAAAATGCGGGGCCAGAGGAGGCTCTTGTGCCTTCTCGCTCGACTCTGTGTACACCTGTGTAGTGGGGTGCGCGCCAAACACCCTAGTACATTGTGAGCACTTAAATGTGATTTTCAGGATTTTTATGCTTGTTCCTGATGGCAGTGGCTGTCGGCCACTTTATGGTAACGAGAGCTCCAATCCGAAGCAGCGAGGATTCTTCCAAGTTAGTGGTAGTGGCCGCTCACCTCTCGGATACGTGTTGAACTCCGCTTCTTGTTGTCCTCGCTGTACCGCATGTCCTGCGCTACGTTCGTCTCTACCCCTGTGTTCCTCTTCCGCTCACCCTTACGCATCCCTTTATGTACCTCTATTTATTCGCCCCCCTTGCGCTTTTACTCATCTGCTGCGCGCTGACAATCCTTGTTTTCAATTCCCCGTTTGCTTGCAGGGCGGAAAATGAAAGCCGCAAACTGAGGCCCCTGTCTCTTGTCATACATCTCTTCTTGTAAGCTGCTGCTCCGTGTAATCCTTTCCCTTTTCCTAGCCCGTGGTCTCGCCGATTCGCGTTTACTGTTTTCCCCAGCTGGCAGTCCCCAAAACAACCGACTCTTCGCGCTGTTTTGCTAATGCATTGCTGCAGTGTGGTCCAGCAGACTAATTTCCCTCAGTGTATGTCTCTCTCACCTTTCGCTTGCCTCTCTGTTCAGTGCGTCTTTCCTGGTGCTTTCCTTTGGATTGCTGCTGCAAGAGGGCCTCTCCCTTCTGCCGCGGCGCCGCTTCGTTAATCTCACGTGGGTTGCTTTTGTTGGAGGCATTGAACTCTTCGCAGTAGGGATTTCAACTGCGTGTGACGCACTCGCCGGTGAGACCTTTTTTGTACACCAGCAATGGGCTTTCATATTGAGAATTTTATTTAAGACCAAATCGCTGTGTATCTCCACACCGATTCTGCTATTGCTGGAAACAGATAGAAATATCCAGAGGAATATGTATCCTCACGATGCTTTGTCAGTCTCCGCTTCGAACCCTTCTCGTGCAAATTGGCTCCTGTCGTGTGCCACTGACCTGCGGTGTACGTGCAGCTCGCGTCGGCCACCAATGGGCCTTGCAGGGCACCAACAGCAATCAGTTGATTATATTTCTGTTAGCAAATCTGTTCGTGGGCCTAGTAAACTTGTGTCTTCGTACCTTGCTTCTGCCGGCAATCCTTGTGTGGTTGATTATGACTGCCTACATGTCTATTCTATTCTTGTGCGCTCACCGCCTCGGGATAGCGGGCAAGCGTATCAAGCTAATTTGAAGTTCTCTGCAACGGAACTTAACTGGCGATCGGCTGGGGGCTTCTGCAAGTCGATAAGACAGGATGTGTTTCTGCATACAACTGCAGCTGCTCTGTCGTCACTCGCAGCTGCCTGTTGCTGTTATTAGTGGTTTTGAATGTAGATAGCAGAAGATCTAATTACTGTTCGATGTGCAGCATACTGCTTCCGAAGTGTGAGTACAATGAGAGACGAAGTATAGGAGCATGAGTGTACAATGTAGTTGAAGTAACATGAGCTTACGCCGCTAGCTGTATTTTTCTCCCCTCCGTCCATATGGAGCTCGGGACGTAGGTGCATGTGTTTCAATATCACTACTTGGATTGCAATAAAGGAAAACTTCGCAGTCAAGCCTATAGCTATAACAGTTATTGACTGGTGTGGCAGGCAAAGCGGAACGTGGATAGGTACATGACGCATATATTTCATGGAGCACGGTTGCCATCTTTGTATGCGAGTTCATGTGCATACACCGTTTGTGTGCGTGCTAAGTTACTGCGTACCGGACTGTGCAGGCAGGCATACTTGGACAGCCAGGGTGCTCAGCACTGGGCCCTCGGACTTCCCATAGATTAGCGACATTGGGAAGTGGCGACAGGGTTGAGAAAAACGAGAGCACTTTCGAAATTGACGACCAAGCTTTTGTTGAAGTCTTGTCCGCTTTATGGACAGACTAGAACAGGCGATGCATCAAAAGTTCCCCGTCGGAAAACCCAGGGGCTATCGAACCTCAGGTCAGCGCTTTATCCGTGGAATGGTTGTAAATCACAACACAGAAGAACAGGAATATAAGATTTAAGCAAGGTCAATGGAAAGAGAGAAAGGAAGCAATCCAGGAGGAGCGGGCGAACAGCCGTATAGAGACGTTTACAAACAGCCTTTAGTAAGGGTTGCAATTTATCGGATGCTAAAGAGGTACTAAGGTGCCTTTCCCGGTAAAATCAAGTGCAAAACAGCCATAGCAAATGAGTAAACGAAGTGATTATTCTGCATGCAGCATTACAAAATGTGTTCGAACGTCGGCGTTGGCAATGCCCCAAACCGAAGTGTTCTTTTACGCCTGCAAGCATACTACGGGAAGAAAATACAGCAGCATGAAGGCCGCAATATTATGCAAGTAGAAAGCAATATCGTTTTTCGAGTGACTGTCTCGCTCGTCAGGTGTGCATGCGGTCTCGGGGACTGGGGCTCCTCCCTTGCAGGAACAGGAAGACTTCAAACCATAGAAAACGCATCAGTATGTCCATTTATATGTGCATGCGGGCGTGTTTAAAGTCATTTGGAGATAGTTTTTCGTGGTGGAAGCACACTGCGGGTCTCTCCCAGCATCCGCATTCCCTTCACTCCATGCCTTGGCGCAACCTTCGTTGTCCCTTTTCCGCCTCTCCGCACGCATGCCTCTCTCCCTCCGCTTCGCGTAATTGTCCCTTAACTCAGCCGCCTGAACCACCAAAGACCCCTCCTCTAATCTATTGGCATTTCCCGTGTTGATACGTCATGGGGTCCTAGGGCCTTGGCAAGCCTTTGAACCATGTTCTTCCTTTCTCCTCTTCTGCTTCGCAGCCACAGCAAACGGCTGCTCGTGCAGCTGAAAAGTGCAGCCCTTTCCAACTTTTACTACATGACTCACAAATCCCCTGCCAAGAAGAATACAAGGATTGCCCTAAGAAAATATGATCCCAGAGCGGGACAGCACGTGTAAGCCACGAACGCTGAATCGCAGACCGTAGAGTCTCCATGAGGCACTGCGAAGAACGTACTCTTAATAATGGGTTTGCTGCGTGTACTGGGTGCACACATTTTCCAACGGGGGAAATGGCTTGTCATGCCTCTCGTCAACTGTAGTTTCACCCTGAGGCGCATGCAGTGCAGCTTGTGACCCTGACGCTGCCCAGAGGGGCGTCATACCCATTGTGATACCGACCTCTAACATGTAACTCTTTGAATGTTTGCATTCCTGTATTGTCGTGCTAGCTTGGAAGAAAAACTATTGCAGTTGGAGCGAAAATAGGAGTGGGGAAGCCAAGGGCTTAAGTGCACGTTGGATGGCTTTCTTAAGGAAAACCTTTGACATCTTCAGAATCAGGCTTCTCTATAGTTTGAAGGAGAGATAATTCAAACAGACACGTGGGAATGCAGCCGCGGAGCCACCTGAGCGAGCCCCAAGTGCTCCTCTCGTGCAGGCACTTCATGCGGCCTCTCAAATATTTTGAATACGCCAGCGGTATACAAGGAGTCTATCTTATTCAAAGGAGGGCAGCCTCCGTCTAACTTCTGGCTTGATATACTTGGTTGTGAAACTACATGCTTGACCAAACCGTTCGAGTATATGTGTGCTTATCCTGTTTTGTTCTTTTCACCTTTTTCGTTTGTACCGCAGGATGTTTTATGAAACGCGGCAGCCAGGAGAAGGGAACAAGAAGCGCCTCACCCTGCACCTGCAGAAGTATATACATTGGACCGGGAAGAACATGAAGCTCATGGCAAAGAGGGTTGAGAGGGCTTGGGAATACGGTGCTTTCCAAAAATACTTCGACGAAAAATACCCTCAGCTGACCGACATTAGAGGAAGGTGAGAAGGTTTAACCGCGTTGTTGCTTTGCTGATACTGCGAGTTGCTTCTTGGCACTGGATGCAAGCTCTGATTGTTTATGTGTTGCGATTTAGGAGCTTACCCCGAATGAAGTAATACAGCCCATGTCACAGCGACATTTTGTAATAAAACATTGATATAGGTAGCGTGCTACGTAACAGTAGACTGCACGGTCACACGGTTTCGGACCGTGGTTTTGTGTCTTGCTGTGGGGGTCTTTAAAACTGGCACACGCTGCCCCGGTCGCAGACTTCAAACCTCCATATTTTTGAATCCACAATGAAACTTTCGTTGCCCTGAAGAGAAACAAAGGTTTTGTATGGCTGCTTCTCCCGTTATATGTATATATATTTATACACATATATGCCTACCTACTCGACGGGCAAAGGGCGGGACAGAGGAGTAGGGGTGCGATTAATTCGCGGGTCATGGTCGACACGGCTGAGCCTTTTGCCTCTTTATGAAACTGAATGACGTCTGTGGGCAAGGGAAAGAGGCGTTGTGCCACTTTACAGAAGAAGACTCCCTCTATTTTGATGTAATGTGTCGCTGCCTGCTGTTTGTTCATGAGCCGTCTAGGGCAGTGCCGAGCGCAGGCTAGATGATATTCATAAACCCCTCAACTATATATATATATATATATATATATATATATATATATATATATATATAGCGAAAATGCTCCCGACAATCCAACACGCTCCAAACGTACATGAGCCCGTAATTTCAACGAGGAAATGGAAGCCGTGACCTGTGTGTTAGACACCTTATGAAGCCACCGACGTTCACAGGATCTATAGGACAGTTAGTTCACTTCATAAACGAAAAACGAGGACTATGACCATTGCAGCAGTGCATTTCAAGCCGCCATCATGCAGAACCCCTTGGCTGACAGTCCCAGGGATTCCTTTCTCTCTGTTTAATCAGAAGCAAAGGGGACTCGGCAGCGGAGTGTTTATCAACGTCGTACTTCGAAATAACAGCTTTTGGACTACCTTGACAATACGAGCACAAACTGGGGAAAACGTTGCTTGCTCTCTCCTTTGTAGGCAAAAAAGTGGATTTACTGGAAACGCAGCGCCAGGTGCAGTAACACGGGTGCTACTCTATGCAACAAGGCGTCTAAAGTTCCTTGAAGTGTTTAGGGGCTGCCTGCAGCAATGTACCGCTTGGGGATGCAAGGTGTAGCGGGCCCAGCTACACATGAACACATCCCACAACAATCGTTTGTTTGGCTCATAATTAGGAAAGAACTAATTGATTGATTTCCTTGTTCATATGTGCATTTTATTGCATGATGCTATATCAACTCGATACAAGAAGAGGAGACGTTATGTGCTGTGCTCTAGATATGCTATGTGCAACTAGCTGTGAATGCTCCGTGTGCTGAGAGGGTGCAGCCACATGTACCCTAGCTTCCCTTTTTCTCTCATGTCGGAAACTCTAAGGGTTTCAGGCACGGGAAAGAAAGGGCAATTTTGAAGAATTGTTACGTTCCATGAAGCTGCTGTCGTGTCCAGGGTCAAGTGACTTCACACAGACACCTACGATGGAAAGTTACAGACCGCTTCCAGACACACGAGCTCCAATTCTCACACGACCTTTTTGTAGCCTGCTTCTATTCTACTGGACTACTGATTAATGCGATTGTCGTGCTGATCAGGGGCGCTTCAGGTTGTCGGATGCTGATTAGCGCGGCCTGCCGTGCATAAGTGAAAACTTCTTCGTGCTTTCGTGCTATGCCGTAGAGGTTACTGCTGCTGAGGAGCAGTAAGACATTCTGCAGGACATTCATTATTTGATTGGTTTCAGTGCGTAGTGTGGTGGCGTCCACACCAGATGGAGCTATTCCCGTTACCACACGCTTTGCAATGTATAGTTATATTAAGTTTTAACTAGTCAATCCCTTACGAATTCTTAGTTAATCTGTTCTTAAAACTTGAAATGAACGGAATGCCTTAATGTAGCGTAGCCCCCTCCATATGAGCAGTGCGCATGAACATGCATGAAATTAACAGACTATTCTTGTGCTTCTGGTCACGTGTAGTTTTTCGACTTTTCTTCTTGCAGTCATTTGCATTGTCTTATGAGCTGTCATATCACTGGAAATTGGGAAGATAAAGTCACACACCCCTATACGCAGGCAAAGCACAGAAGCGTGGGAAGACATATTAAGCCTAAATCCCTGGGGTATTATCATGCTGCCTTGGCATGCAAGCAAGCGCCACATGCAAGAATATATTCCTTAATTCTTTAGAATTTAGCGCAGTGCAAATACGTTATATACTTTGCTGTGATTGAACTGTAACCCTTCAAAAGCTGGAAGAAGAGAAACAGTCTAAATCGATGATTAGGAAGTTTCCTCGTTGGGCACACCGCTGAAAACTAGCCCACCCTTTTAAAATCGATAAAACCCACCAACTTGAGAAGGTATGGAGTCCTTTTGATATCAAAACCGTACGAACCTTTTGAGTACGGTGGTAAAAAGATGTAGATTGCTGCACCAGTCTTTTAGTAAGGTCGTGGTGCAACATAAAGCCAATCATCCAAAGCATAGTAAGCCCATTTCCTGTTGGCCTAAGCCTATTGAACCAAAGACATATTCACAGTTGAAGCAAAACCACTTGGGTGCTCAGAGTTGATGCAGGCTAACCACGAAGGCTCCGAAACACGGTATTTCTGGTTGTCCACTGATCAAAACGCAAGGCGGCTTACACAGCAGAGCCACTTATAAAATCCTTGTGTCCCTGGTATCCCACTGCGCAAGCTGAAGTAGTTGGTGTGTTTCATGAAGAGCATCTAAAGAGGAAAGCTACTTGACAAACGGTGGCAAACAGGTTGCTACTCTGCTATCGAACCCAAGAGCAGAACCACCGCCTGAAACTATTCGACGCACTTTCTGCTCAAAGAGCCGGAGTAGCAGGAGGGCCAATCGTGCAGCTTTGCAACGCACATACAATAGCTGGCGGGTCCTCATCTGGTGAGGTAGTCGTTTTTGGTATGTGGTAGTGCAGATGTGCAGCACGTGGACAGCAGCTGATGAAACGCCAGCATTTTTACAGCAGTTAGTACAGCATAGCTCTTGAACGCTTCTTAGCTTACCTTTGGACTGTCGAAAGTGAATGAAAGCCTTTCCTTAATATCATGAAAAACGCATAGTAGATATCACCCGATGTTACACTGCACGGTTTGTGGCCCTACTGGCCTCGCTAAAGCCCAGACGCAGATGCTGCGGTTCATACGGTGCCGAATGCACCGGTGAAACAGCCACCACAAGCAGGGTAGTCCTTCTAGAGTCTCCCGTCGCAAATACTAAAGGGGTCTTGCCCCACTAAACTTCGGAGTTCGGATACGAGCCTAAGACCAAGAAGGCGCCCACACAAGCGCAAACGAGCCTCCCATGTAGCATCTGCATTGTTGCTAGCCAAGCAGCCATAATCCGCTCTAACAGCGTTCGTGAAGTATGGTGCTCTATCAAAGCAGGTCGACACTTGCAGCAAGGATGCTGCAGCACGACGCCTTTTTGTTAGAAATGTGAGACCTGGCTGATGCTTCTACATGATCTCCTCAGGGTTGCAGCTAGGCTGCGCCTTCAGAATTCTCTGTAGGCAAGCAGGCTTATGTTTGCTTTTCTTCGTCTGTGCTTGCGCCAGCACCACGAAGGCTACGCCCGGCCGTAGGTAAGATGACAAAGGACTAGAGACGAAAGTCCTCCTGTATGCTGCGTGGAGTGGCCTGCCTCATTTTTGCGGAGATATTCGCAAGCAGCATCCCATACCATGCTGACATAGGGCCTTCAACAGCATTGAGCAAATTGGTGTAGCTGGGATTAATGTAATGGCTGGGTGGCTGACGTGCCAATGCCCTACCATACTTACATGGCATTGATCCAACCTGCTCTGATTTTGTTGTGGTAGATATAAGTAGATGAGTCTGCAGGCTAGCTATGCCAAAGATAAATCAGCTTTATTCCGCACAGTCTTTCGACTTTCGGAAGCAGAGCAGCACAGTTCAGGAGGTGCTTGTTTGCGTTGACTAGACCCGATCAACGGTGGCTAACGAAAATCATAAAACACTGCACATGCGTCTGGGGCATGCACAAAGACCGTCTGTTGTTGTCCAGAGTGTGTATGACCCCGACATCCTTTATTGGCGGCGACGACAAGCTGCAGCTGGGCCACACCAGCGACTGAGACCGTCTGTGCCACATAGCTTTACCCCTACGCGTAAAACGGCAAAATCCCACAGATAGGAGAGCCAGTAATGCACAGAATTTGGGATCAAACCTTGGAGGTGGATGATTGCAGCCCTAAACGCTACACTAATGCCAGACGGAAAGTAACGCGGGTGTCCTACGGAAACATGCTTCGACAAAGATCTATTGCGAACACCTTATTCATAGACGTTTACAGTAAATTACAAGAAAAGATTCGGCTGATGTGGGTACGCAAACCCATAAACATGTAAACAACGCCTCCAGTCCCTAGCGACTTGATTCCTGGTGGGGATGCCCCAGTCACAGCGCGTGCCTGGGGGCCCCTCAGTGTGGTGGTGTGGAAAGTACCTAATGGATATATTATGAAAGAGCATCCAAATCTTTAGATAGTCTGCCTCCAAAGTTTGCCTTTCCATACAACAAGCCAAACACTATCAGCAGCAAGTGTTTCATCGCCACAGTCTAGAGTATGGGCAGGTAAATTGAAAGGCTGACTGGGGGTTCCAGGCGTTTAATTCATACGGTTCCAAAAAGATAATGCCTAGACGAGCGGAAACGAGTCATCAATGCCTGCCAAGCGGATTGGTAATGAAAAAACCAGTGCTGTGACAATGCGTCTTCCCGTAGTATAATTTGGTGGGAAGTTCATTTTTCCGGTGTTCTATTTGATCGCAAAAGTGAAATGAGGGCCTTATAGAATGTTAGATAAGCCTGTCATGTTTCGAATAGCGCTGGGAGCTGGTTGTGGCAAACAACGCGCAAGAACCAGAATTAGGTGTATTGGTGACTCATCCCGTCGGAGCAAGCGAAGCAGTTGGTATGCAACGTTCGCTGTCAGATTGGCTGCTTTGAGGGCCTGGGTGTAGCGGGGCAACAGTGA